TAATTTGGTGAGAGAAATGCCCAAGAACTTTTCTTGCATCAATTTTAGGCTTGGAAATATCTGGTTCTGGTAATTTTGCGTGAAATGTATTTGCAATTTTATCACAAAATTTCCTTATGTTGAGTCAGTGTCCTCATGTTGGGCCTTATTTATTGATTTATTCTGGGAAAATAAGTTTCCCTATGTCAAATTGTCCAAAGGTCGAGGCGTCCGCATGTGGGGGTCTCACTGTATATACACAGAGTAATTACAACTTTTCTAATTTTCTTGCTATAGAGATATTTTTTGACAATTTTCACTCATCATCCACTCATTTTGGATTAAAGCAACACATGATATCACAACTTTAAAACAAATAAAGTTCAGGTTCTTTATCACATTTTCTCATATATACTGTATATAGAGAAACACCAATGCTGTATTATAGAGAAACTTCAGGTTCTTTTGATGGATTATTCCCATTGACTGAAGAGATTTGATTATTCTTTCCTACTTTCCTTCATCCCTGCTGCTATATATTGAATGAAAAAGAAATACAGAGGTGGAAATATTGAAATATATATAAAGAGGGGGAAATTGAATCATGGAAAATTTCCTCCAGATACATGCTGGAGGTGACAAAAAGATTATCTAATATAGGACCAATACTGTACATCCCAGTATATATATATATACTGGGATGATGTATAGACTGAAGCACATTTTTTTTCTCCAAGCAGACTGCAGTCTCTCTCTTTTTTCTGATTACAAAATGGAATAAGGTGTCTCACTCCCTCTTTATATGGGGAGACATTCATGACTTGGTCTGCATCAACAGAATTTCTCCATGTTTTATCCTGAAAATCTTATCCTATATATATACCCATATTTACATGAATACCACACGCACCTTCCTTTTTTTTTAGAAATTGAGGCAGAAAAAAAGGGTGCACATGTTACTGGGGGATAAATTTTAGGGAAAAATTCCCAAGCCCAGTGCCCCTCACATATCCAAGTAAAAACATAAAATTTGAAGAGGAAATGTGTGGTGCCATAGTCTCTCTCCCTGCATGGGGAATATAATGGCTGAATTTGTTTCATCCCTTTTTATTGGAAATGCAAAAAGAAGTAAATAAGGAAGAAGGTGATATGCTTCTAATAATTGAGGAAGCTTTCCTACAATAAAAAATGCACTTCAACTGTTGAGGGTTGACTAGATGTTGCCCAGAGCAAATGAGATCGCACCGCAAAACAACTATACAGTCAACCCCCATCTAACAGACTTGATTTGTGCAAGGGACAAGTCTGTTAGACAAAAAGTCCTTTACACGAATTGAATTACATAAAAAATTAAAAATTTCAATTTTCAACACTAATTTTAAACCAAAAGAAGTCTGTTTGGCGGATTTTGTCTGTTGGGCAGGAGGAAAAACTCCTTGCAGAGCTGGTCTGTTTGGCAAAAATCCCTTACACGGGAGGTTTGTTAGGCGGGGGGGCCACTGTATGTTGCTCACAGTTGCGCCACATTGCTTAGAAGCAACTGGAATTATCAAGAACACAGAATTATGTAAGTCAGAATATTCTATGAAGTTATGAAACCTTCATGGAATAATTCTGTAATTATTATGAAACATCATGAGTGATCCTCACCAAAAGGATTCTCATGATAGACAAGACACTGCTCCAAGAAACTGGCCTTTTCAGGTTCATTTCCATTAGAATATGGACCTGAACCTGGACCTCAAACCTCATCATGACCATCATTGCTGTTCCTGAAGTGTGCACGCAAACATCACTCTGAGAAAGCTTGTATTCTGTGTTCAACATTTATCATTTGGAAATATATCATCAAAGTTGAGGATTCTGCCTCAGGCCGCAAACCGCTGATTGCCCAGTGTCATTATTTCACTGAACCTAATTTCTTTGTCTTGAGTCTAAGGACCCAGGACATCAACTGCTTCTGTACATGGAAATAGACCAAAACACAAAATATTGTTGAGGAAAAATGAATTTTGACATTTAAAAATTTCACTTTTTTGATTTTCAGCAACAAAAAAAACAAGGGTGCGCATCTTACATGGGGATAGGTTCTTGAACAAATTTTATGGTGAAAACATTGTGGTGAATAAATGACAGGGAAGAATATTTTTATGCACAAATGAAAAGAAAATGTACACTGGGTTTGCCGGGTTGCGACCGGGGTTTTCACCCAAGAAGAATATGTATATATTCCAATTTATACAACTTTGAGTCTTGACAACTTTCAAAAACTTTGTGAATTGTCAAAGTCAAAGGAAAATTACTTTTCCTTTGCTGAGGAAATGGCATTTTCCCCAAAAGGAAGCTATAAATCAGAGTTTCCAGGTCTCTGGTGTTTATATATGAAAAACAGGGAGTCAAAGGGCTTTGCTTTGCACAAAATTGCTGCCATATAAAGAGCAGGTTCCTTTATTCTCAAGGATCATTTTTCTGGGGAGGCAAGGACTGGTTGAAAGTTTGACTGGTCCCCCTCCCCCTTTTCCTGACATATATTGTCTTGAAAACTGCAGTAGTATATTTACTAATTTTATTTCAAATTTTAATTAACGTTGAATTCCATTGCAAAAAAAAAGAGAATCAAAAGCCAATTGAATTCAACTTTGTTGTCTTTTATATACGCATGAACAATAATCAGGTCTTTGCTCTTCAAATTGCTATAGATGGCCAATTTGGCTTTGTCTCAGACAAATCTTCAAACCAATAACTTAGAAGACTTGTGTCTTATTGGAGATTCAAATCATTTTCTGCTGCTTTTAAAGAGTATTTGGACAAAAGAATACTCTGATATGGGAAAAGATTTGGATGAGTGTTCTTTATTAATTTGTATACATACTGTACAGGTATAACTAATATTTTGCAGAGCAGAGCAACAACAAGGTTTTGCAGCAATATGCTGTCTAATGGATACAGTAAAAGCCCTGGCTGTTCATACTTGTGGAACACTTGTATTTATAGATTCTGGCCAGCGAAGTCAAGGGACTTATTATGCTGTAGCAACCAATTCAGATCAGTGTTGACATACTTAGTTGCACCAGTATATATGAACAAAGGAAATGGGAATCATGTATTTAGAAAGGTTTTCTGGGTATAGCAATTAACAGACTGTAAATTAGACTTGGGCATCAAGTGCAGCCAAGCATTAAAAAAAATATTAATTACAAGGGAATATTTCAAAGTGATGTTGTGCTGTTTGCATTGCAGTCTTTTTTGCAAAATGACTAAAACTTTATTTCTGGCAAAATTTAAATCTTCATTATTCCTGATAGCGCTTCTCAACAATTGCAGTTTGAACATCAGTCAAAAGTTGTGTGCCCAATATTTCAAATACAGTAAATCAAACAACTCTTATTTATCCCTTCTCAATTTTTGCAAACATTTTTTCAATCACAAATGTGGTGACTCAAATATGACAAAAGAAGCTTTTGGCGTCCAAAAAACGTATGCTTTCCTGTATTTCCTTTGAGATCCAACACTGAGATCCATAAACAAACTCCTCATGACAAGAAACAATTTTTGAGGAGAAAAAAAAACTTGTCTCCCGAAAAAGCACCAAACAATGAAACTTTGAATGATTTGACACAAAAAAAAGAGGCTCAAAATCACGAGCAAGCCAAATGAACAATAATGCATGAAAATGCCCTTTGTGTTAAACGTTTTCAAAACTCAAGTCATCAATAAGTCATAAAATCCACAACAAACTGGTGAGAATATAAGTTAAATCACACTTTGAAACTTGGTCACTCCCAATGCTGCCCTCTGTTGAGTAAACTCAGCAAATCACACTTTTAAAAAATGCATCTTTTGAAACCCCCTGCACCCCTACAATAATAAAGGAAATACACAAGCACAGAAGCTTAAAATCTCAATCCCAATCAATAATCCACAGGAAGAACTTGTTTGCTGATTGTGAGTAAAATTCTTGGAAAGACTCAACATTTGCATTACAACAAAAAAATATTGCACAAGCAGCAATTATATAGGTGAAAATTACCAGAATGACAATTGACACAAAGTTGTCAAAAATTCATGAAGAACCAAGAAAATAATATGGCAAATTGAAAAAATTCCCAATTGATCAGTGAATCTCCAAAGAAAAGAAAAAATCAACAGAATGAGTTCACTTATGTATATTGTAAAAGCATGCAGTTCATTAACAAGTTAATTTGAACAACTTCAAATTTTGCTGAAAGCTTTTCCATTTGTCAAATAAAGATCCACTACATGAGCTGCAGAGCATTATTCAAACCATAAAAGTGAACTCACTCTCCTCTCCAATCCAAACATGTAAAAGGAATATGAGTTTTTACCCTTTTTAGTATTCTCTTATTACTACTACTATGTACAGTATTCTGAGGTTTTAATTCTAAGGGTATACGATAGTCGTTTTCCTTATTGAGTACTTTTAAACTTTAAAACAGACGAAGCATAAACAGACCTATCCCAGTAAAATGTCATTCAAATGCACATTCAACATTTTTAAAAATGAAGGTTCTGTATATAACTGCAATTGGAAAATATCATCAGAGGTGATAATTTTATTCTGGTGGAAAAGGACCAAAAAATAATATTTTTCATTTCAAACACTGATGATGAAGACTGATTTCATTCTGGCATCACCACCATCAAAAAGTCTGACATGTATCAATGAATTTTCCCATTTATGATTTCCTCAAAATTTCTAAACTTCCTGCTCTGGAAAATGTCACCCTCTTTCAATCATACATTAGAAAATGATTTTCTCATTTTGGCAAACAGAATTTTTAAAAAAAGGCACTGCAAAAATGTGTAATATTAAGGAAATGAGAGAGCAAAAAGAAAAGCAAACCCCCCCCCCCCCCCCCAAAAAAAACCTTCCTATTGTCACACACACACACACATACAAGAAAAATAAATTGGACAACAATAAGAAAAATAACTCATCATGGCCCAGCAGCTGCAGCAGCAGCAGAAGGAGGTTTGGGTTTGTTGGTCTTGAAGGACACCTGCAGCACCCTGTTGCCCAGAGTGTAGCCATTGAGTGCTTGGATGGCCATCATGGCCTCCTCATAGTTGGTCATGGTGACAAAGCCAAAGCCCTTGCACTTGGTGGTCTGCAAGTCCCTCACAACCTTCACAGTCTGCACTGCCCCAAAGGGACCAAAGAGTTGCCACAGCACATTTTCCTCTGTCTCTGGGGCCAGGTTGTACACAAAGATGACCCATCCAGGGGTTGCCATCCCAGCAGAGGAGGATGGTGCACCACCACCATTGCCCAACAAGTGATGATGGTGCTGATGATGATGATGCTGCTGCTGCTGCTGCTGACTGGCTGCTGCAGGATGACACAGCTGATGCTCATTCCCCACCCCATTGCTGCTGTCCATCAGCATCAGTCAAAGCAAAAGCACAACAGAACCATCATCATCATCATCATATGATTATTCAACTTTTAAAATTTGAAAAGTATAATGCTCAGAAGCTGACTAAATCATAAAAAATAATCATAACAATGAAAGTTAATTCTGAACCCCATCATGAATAATTCCACTGTTTTTCATAACAAGTAATAATTATGATGGAATTTTTTAAACTCTAAATCAGGTGAATTTTTCACGCTATACTGTACTGAGTAAAATTAATAAAACTAGCTTTTTAAATTAATGTTGTTATTGTATGGAGAGAATGGAACAGAAACCCCAGTGAAAGTTTTCTCCTCTCTGCTTTGATTTGATAAATATATAGTCTTCATAACACAACCTTCACCTTTGAGGGATCACTACTTTGTTTATTCATTCTTTATCCTTGAATATTTCATACCTGTATTTGGATTTGGATTTGTGCACAAACTTTTTTATATCCTCTTATGTAGTATATTCCTTGTGGATTATGTCATCTCTTTGCCATCAAATTACACAATACAGTATGTTGTTCTGGGAAAAAAACAATGATATATTCAAGATGTTCCCTTGAATATACATACTGTACTTTGTTCTTTACCGGCTGACTGCTACCGTTTTATTGTTTTGTTTTTGTTTTGCAGTGCTTTATACAGTATATCATCATTTCTTTTCTTGGGTCATTCTGTTAATTAATGCTCAACATATATGAGGAGAACTAATATTTTTTTCAGCATCAATACATGGGCCAATATATGCAACTGTTCTGATGTATTATTATTGGCCTCCAAATAGTGCATATATGGGTTCACAGAGAAATAATGACTGCATGAAGGAATGATGCTCACCTGGCATTGGAGAAAGGCATGTACCTGAGTCTTGCCCCAGGTGGCCCTGCAGCAGCAGCTGGGTGGCAATGTGCTCCACCACCACCACCACCACCACCAGCAGGACCAGTGGCACCTCCTAGACCAGCACCAGTGAACCTGCGCAACTGGGGACCACTGAGGTATGCTGCCAATGGCAACCCTGCCTTTGGGTTGTTGCTGGGATTGTTGGCAAACTTGACAGTGATGGGCTCTGAGAAACTTGCTGGCACAGTCCCATGCAACTTGTTGATGGCTCTCTCTGCCTCTGTCCTCTGGTCAAACCTGCATCATTTTTTTTTTTCACAATAAACTCATCTACATCATCTTCATTATTCTGGTACATTATTTGTGTACTGCCAATAATCAAACAGATTTAATTATTTTGACTCACAAGTTATTTCAGCTAGGTATATGACACTTTTTCCTGATATAGTAAAAAGTACAATATAATAGCTCTTCATCAACCCTAAGAATATTGCAACTCAAACAACTTGAAATTAAAACTAAATAAATGGCTGATATTATTGCTTGCTTTTACAATAAAATGGTTTTGAAGGATACAAGAATTGTTATAATTATGCCACTATTATCTGTGAAAATCATAAGAAATCATTTTTAAAATATTTCTCAGGATTTTTCATATTTTCAAGATAATTTTGTTAAAGACACAACACAAGGAAAAACTTGTCAATTTCCTGTTATGGCCCAATAATTTTCCTTCTCAATTTATACAATGCTGAAAATTGGTTATTTGCGAGTTCAAAATTGAATTTTTTTAGATACACTACTGCTGTATTATTATCTTCATATTGGTAGACATTTTTTAATTTTTTGGATCATGTCATCAGAGATGCAAACTTTTTCCAGGAGGGGCAGTGTGGTGAGGTGTCAATTCACAATTTTCATCATCTTTTCTCAGAATCCTTTGCCAAGGAAGAATAAATTATGTTCAATGAAATTATCTACATCTATGTTGTTATTTTATTTCTATATAGATTGAAGTTGGATTGTAATTCTGCAATGTTTTTGCTTGACAAACTTCAGTTAAATTGACTGCTGTGGGTGAGAGGCAAATGCAAGAAATTCTTCCAAAACAGAACATCATTGAAGCTGACTTCCAATGCGTTTTTTTTTCCTGAACTCTTGAGTTGTTACATTAGTATAAAAATATAATCATGTCTTGATAAGCATGCACAACTCATATAAGGACACATGAAGGTTGAACTTCTTATTATCAACACAGATGAGACAAGTGTATAAATATAAGCTTAAAAGTGACATATATAAATATAATGACTATAGTATTTACCTGATGAAGCCAACTCCCTTGGAGAGCCCAGTGAGGTTGTCACACAGGATCCTGGATGTGATGATTTTGCCATAGGGTGCAAACAAAGACTCCAACTCAGCCTGTGTCCAAGTCTTTGGCATCCCACTCACATACAAATTGGCTCCTTTGATTGTCTCACTGCTTGGCCTTGCATATGACACCTGGCAAAATAACAGTTACACACTGTACTGCATATACTGTAGTAGTGCATCATCCTCATTATAAAAATATCTTCAGATTGTACAAGTATCAATTTTATTTACAAATACTGTCCCTAAAACACTCCTAGAATTGAAAACTGTGTTTCAAGGCTGAACAAAAAAATTATATCTGATGGACAAGAATTTAATTTTTGTACTAACTTAACTGTGCTTCTTCATTCAAAAAAGCACCTAGCTGTGGTTTGTACTATTAAAATTTTATTTCAAATCAAGGGTAGATTTGTTTTACAAATACAGTACTGCAAAGCCTTAGAATAGGCTGAAACAAAACATTTTGATGAACAAAAACAAATACTAATTCAGATGGTATGTGTGCTGAAAAAACTCTTGAACTTTCATCATGTCTGCATGCCTTGGATCTCAAAATGTATCTATACCTCATCATCATCAGTATAGGATGTTATACCCCCCAATTAAAAATATGCATGGGCAGCTTCAATAATGACACACACAAAAAAACCAGCATCTGGAACAAATGGCTTTTGCTGTTTTGTTGCTGCTGCAGAAAGCTTCCATCATACTGTACAGTGTATATATACATATATATATATATACAGGAATAAAAAAGTGGGGGGAAAAGAAGAAGAAAACAGTCTGCAGCAGCAGCAGCAGACTGCATGCATGGTGCGTCTGCCCTCATGCTGGATCAATAATTCCTTTGCCTTGCAAGCTGCTGGCTGCTGGTTCAATGCTAAAACACACACACACACACACATACACAAAAACACAGCCTCTATATGGGTATACTGCAGTGTATTTGCCAACCACATAACCAACTGCTGAACAAGGCTCATTTGTGTGCATATTCCATCAAATATGGCTAATTGGTGGGGGAGGGGGGAGGGAGAGGAAAGCCCAGGAATTTCAGCAACATGGTGGAATTCATAATTCTCATGGAATCTCTATATTCTTATGCTATTATACCTCTGTCATCATCCATCACAGAACAGTATATTAGTGAAGTTCTTTTTTTTTATTCTCCTGTCAATGGAATTAAGGCATAAACAACCCCCATTTCTTGGGCTTCTTTAGTCTCAGGGTCAGATAACCCAAGAAACATATGAAGTAATAGACTGAGTTATGTACCATAAGGTCTGACTTCATTCAACTGATGCAAATACAAGGATTGCTGGTTTGGAAAAGATGATAAATGGCCATTTGCTGTCATATTGGAGGAGCAGGAGGATTAATTTTTTCTTTTTTTTTTTTTGCTCTTCAATTCTTCATTGATGTCTGATAAATTGTTCATGAACTATTCAGCTGCAGAAAGGAAACAATACAAAGAACTGGATCCCAGTGAATGCCCTCCACTGAAGTGAAGTTTACCATGTAATCCCCCCAAAGTCACAGAGCATGCAAAGTGTGCATTCAGCCCCTCTTGATCAATTAAACTTCCCTTCAGTGGAGGGGATTCACTGATGTGATCCAGATCATTTTCTTGTTTCCTTCTGTACAGCTGAGTAAACCATGAAAAATTCATTAGGCACCAATGAAGAATAATTGAAGAGCAAAAAGAAAAAAATTGCACCTGAATGCCTCTGATGATGGCAATAAGTGGCAGTTTATCATCTTTATATTTACAAACCAACCCTTGTACATGTAGAAAATTCAACATATGGACACTTATTTTCCAATAAAAAAATGCATCAAAGAAGGCCCAACATGCAAACACTGATTCAACATTCAGGCACTGTGTGCTAAAATTGCAAATACGTTTCAAGCTGAATTACAAGAACCAGATGTTTCCAATAACCCTAAGATCTATGTAAGAAACATTCTATGACATTTCTATAATCATTTTACCAACCATTTACCTAATTTTTTTAAAATCACCTCTAGCATAGAAGGAACTTCCTTCTCCATTTTTTACTTGAATTTTTATTTTTGCAGAGAATGCCAACATTTCAATGTACTATACAGAGGTACATGCAGTATTCAACGCTCAAAATGTCCTTGTTAATTTGAAAGATATTGATTGAATCAGTTTCAATTGGCAGACAATTTTTTTCATGGAATTCTGATGAATATTTCTTCCATGAAAAATCAATTAAAAATTATACAGTATAAGGAAAGTCTAAGGGGAGATGAGACTGACTTTAGGGACATTTCAACTTTGGGACACTCTCGCTGATGCACCAATTACACCTGCATCTTGTGGTCTAACTGCTGTATACAGTATTCAGTGGAGGTTGATTGAAGGCCCTCATTTACAAAAGAAAAAACATTTTATATAGGCAGGAAAAAGTGGCTTGTACAAAAAGGTCTACCCAACATGAACAGAAATTTCCAGCAAAAACTTGAGGAAGTTATCAACTGTGCCAATAAGGGAAACCAAACATTGTAAAAGAAAGACACCAAGCAAGTCTGTAATACAGTTGTTTTTCATCTTGAAAAAATGGTATACATTTGGTTGTCAAATGCATTTTAACTAATACATTATTCATTTAAAAAACAGAAAACAACAGAATTTTGAGCTGAGCAAGATTTTCAGTTGCTGGTGCTTTCTTCTAATCAGCTCTGTGATAATCTCCACATCAGCTCTCTTGTATATATATATATCTGCCAACATATGGCATGAGCAACCACAAGTTAACACACCATCATTTTGAAAACATTTTATTTTTTGGCTATGATGAGAGAGGGAGCTGAATTGAATCCAAAACATATATCACATATACTGTACTTATATACAGTACTAACCTTGATAATCTTGTTTTGGATTCTGACTCCATTCAACTGTGAAATGGCCTTCTCTGCATCCTCTGCTCTGTGGAAATTCACAAAGCCATATCCCAAACTCTGGCCTGGAAAACAACCAAATAAAGGTTACACACCATGCTCATATAATGAATATTATATTGACTGTATATGTTTTTGTGTATGTCTCTCTCTCTTATATATTATAGGTATAACTGCTATTTATTTTTTATTGCAATACAGGATATACCATGAGACTCAGATCCAGGAGTTCTGTCCCTGATGAGTTTGCAGCTCTCAACTTCCCCAATCTGTGAAAACAGGGCCCTGATGGTCTCCTGGTTCATGTTTTGTGGCAAGTAGTTGACTATGAGGTTGGTCTTGCTCTCTTCCCCAGCAGTGGAGGAGGATGTTGGTGAGGCTGCACTGATGAGTGCTTTCATGTCCTGGTCCACATCTGCCACCAGGGAATCCATGCCCAGATTATCTGTGTGTCAAATTTCAAGTGATGACCCAGCACCAACCAACACAAATCTCACCAATGGTAACCACTCACCAAAACTACAGTCATCCTGAATCATCATGACTGCCTCAATACAAATATTTCTTATGCTGTCTTTACTCATCCACAGCAGCAGCAGTCAGAGAAATTAGAGACACCCAATAAAAAAAAAATGAGGGGAACACAATTGTGGCTTCCACACAAGCACTTTTTTTTCACTCTCAAATCATTTCTGGGTTTCTGGAATGCGACTTCCCAAAAGAAACCAAACTACATGGGGAAAAGAAGACTTTTTATCACTATATGTACTGTTATCTGAAGCACCATCCTATACAAGAACATCAACCAAAAGTGTGACATATACACAATCATTTGATGTCATTGCTGTATGTGACCAACCTCAGCAACTCTGACATACAACACATTCATAGTTCAGCAACTTTTTGATGGTTATTAGAGTGAATTTCAATTATACTGGACAGGTAGAGTGAGACAAATATGATTTACATATTTATATTCATCATCATTGCAGGAATTCACTTCCATATGGCTCACATGCTGTACATCACATATACAGTATATTTCATCAGGTTTCACATCAACATGACGCATTATATTGCAATTTCTATTGCTGCTGTACAAATTTGTCAAGTCAAAATCAGAACCCAAAAGTCGAAAATGTGAGCGGAATAATCACAGCATAATTTATTGGTCTGAGTTTATACAAGTTTAAGGTTTCACTTGGGATCAAGTTGAGTTCCATATTGCAAACATCTCTACTTTCACATTTTCTTAATCCATATGAAATATATAGTGCGGAAAATTTGAGAGTTCGGTTATAAACTACAGTATAATGAGGCCAGCATAGTCGCATACTAAGCATAAAAGAAGCAAGCACGAAGAATAGTCAAGAAATGGATCGTGATAACAATAATAAGACACCAGCAAGTTTGACATCGCGCATCACTGCGAAAAGAATGCACAAAACAGTATATACATACACGCACAAAAGAATAGGAAATGAAGAACTCATTCACATATGAGATCACCGCCACGTCTTCGAGATGACGAGAGAGATGGAAAAATTCTTCCGGCAAGTACTGTACTGTATAACCAAGATACTGTACCATCGGCAGTCTGTGCGGATGCTGCCTTTTACACGTACTATATAGACACTCATAACCCTAAAGATCTCGGATGCATCACTGCATATACAGAGACAAGATGCGCGACGTTAACGGACATCATTATTGATCATCGCCGCCAAGACGCACACATAGAAAAAAAAAGGATTTCTTCGCAAGTCCACGCGATCGCAGCTGGAGACAGACTGACGTCGAAGCGACGCGTGGGCGGCGAGGGAGTGCATGGGAGGGATTCACACTCGAATCCCTGAGCTTCGGCGCATGCCCCGCCCTCCCGCGCACAAGTGACGTCACAGTGACGCCTCCGTTTCCTTCTCTCTCGCTCTCTCTTTCCTTCTCCGGTCCGCCTCCCCTTTCTTTATCCTTGCTTCCACGCGTTATCTTTGTTCACTCCCACGTTATTCTCTATTGCTACTAAGACGCATACAGTACAGTACAGTACAGTGTTGCTGAAGGAGCTTCTTCGGCGTTTAGACGTGAGGTAGGCGATATCTACCTCACGACTGCTTGTGCCGTTCCGATGATGCGTTCCTAGGTGTCGCTGCCAGTGTCAGTCGCAACAAGACAATTATGATGTACTGTACAGCACAGTATGCATCAGGTACCGTAATTAGGGCAACACTTGATTAATACAATAGGAAACTCGTCATGGTCATGGTTTGAGAAAACGTGGGTTTTTATGCAATGATGCATCACCTTCGAAATCACAATGAGTAAATAACAATAAACAGCATGTATTGATGGTCAGCGCAGCACTCAATTAATTATTATGATTGTTCCATTGTGAATGATGCACATACAAACAGCATGCAAATGAATGCAGGGTTATATTACAAAATAATAGCAGGGCATTTGCACATGAAGAATATAGCCAAGCCATCTATGATGCTAATCATGCTGCCCATTCTGCTACATGAACTATTTTGTTTCTCTGAAAATGGATGCAGCAGCAGTTCATATCCAGTCTACAAATAAGGACAATTTTGAATCTATAATAACTAATATAATATGTACAAATGACAGATGCAGACACTTTTTGTAGTAGAATCCATCATCACACTGCCTCTTTGTTCTGCCTCCTTTCAAAGAACTATGAATGCATCATGCATCAGAAGATGGCTGCCACCTGCTGAATACAAAGATATGCCCCCAAACACCCACACTATGTCATCATTATGGCACTTTCACTGCAATCATGAAGAAAACTAAACTTCTGATTATTGTATTCAGCATCTGAAAAAGGATAACTGCTGCTTATTTTTCTTCAATAATTTATTAAAATGAATATTGCACATGCAGACACAAATCCTGTCATATAATATATTTTTGATTCTTTCAATATTTATCCTGAATTTTGACAAAGAAAACCTCAATGGTCATGCAAATAAATAATTAAAATGTTCACATGAAAAGTAACTTCAGCAATGAATATAGCAGCTGGGAGGTTTCTTTGAATAATGCAAAAACATTCATGATTAATTATATGTGTTGTTTATATTAATGGTGTACAATATGGGTTCCAGCACCAAAAAGGGGTACATGTATGTGCTTGAAGGCTTGGGGAAGGTTAGTGAATCAGGCATTCCTATATATTATTTAACTGATGTATACTGTACATCAGTACTAAAATTCCAGGCAAAATTGCTGCTGGACATCATGTATAATAGAAATGAAAACTATTGGCATTTACAGAGCAAATGTCTCATTCAAGCATCAGCAAGCAGCAGAAACTCATCCTATTTCAAAAAGTAAAGGTACAGTAATTTTATTCTATTAGGCTCTGCATTATATTGCTGTATATCCTAAAAATTAGGTGTATACTGTACTGCCTATGTGCAATACTTGGCATCTAAAGTCTGGAATTCTGATGATGATAAAGACAGCACCCCCCTCCCAAGATAATAATATGTATGTATGTTGTATGCATGCATTTAAAAGAGGAGGAATCAGCAGTTATTGGGACTCATTATTTCTTTGACTGATGGAGGCAAGGATGATGAGAAGGTGGAGAACCTGAGTTTGCCAGGGTACCAGTGACTGCCCATGGTGAGCATGCATCTCCTGATGAACTCCTGGCACAGGTGCAGGTCCTTGTAAGGTGGGGCCAGCATGGTGTCCAGCTCATCCAACAGTTCAAAGAAGGCCTTCATGGCATCCTTGACATGGCCTGCTTCAATCAGCCCCATGGCACTCTGGAATGATGCCTCAGTTGCTTGCAGCTTCTTCAGGACCTTTCATATACAGCAATATATAAAATATACACACACAAAATATCAACAAATCTCATTTTCCCTTTGACTTTGGTTATATAATTCTTAATTGGAGTTTTATGGAAGAAATATTCATCAGAAGTCCATGAAAGAAACTGTAAAAACTGTCTATCAATTGAAACTAATTCAATATCAATATCCTTCAACTCAATATGTATATTTGGACCATTGATCACTGCATGTACCTCTGTATACAGGACATTGAAATGTTGGCATTCTCTGTAAAAATAAAATTTGAGTCAAAAATTGAGAAGAATAAGTCCCTCTATGCTGGAGGTGATTTTTAAAATTAGCTAAATGGTTGGTAAAATGATTTTAGAAATGTCAAAGAAATTTTCTTACATAGATGAGATAGATCTTAGGGTTATTGGAAACATATTTTTCTTGTAATTCAGCCTGTATGAAACCTTTTTGCACTTTTAGCACACAGTGTTTGCAGCTTGAGTCAGTGTCCACATGCTGGTCTTTTTCTATGCATTGTATATTTTGTAAAATAAGTGTTTGTTCATCAAATTGTTCACATATTGAGGTGTCTACTGTAATTAAATTTTTCAAGTGTCTTGACAATGGTAGAAAACTCTGGCAGCAATTGAAGGTTTCAAGTTATCATCATTAAGGAAAATTGAAAGTCACATAATTTCAACATTTGAAAAATATCAAGACTTTCAAACATTTGAAAACAAACTGTTTTTTTACATTTTTACCATACTACAGGTGGTACCTTGCAATTTGACCATCCTGCAATTCAACAGTGAAATTTACTGGGAGGTCAAAACTCTCAATTCAACCTGTGGTCAAATGCCATGTAGAAAACATCCCATTTGATGTTGTCTTGCAATTTGACTGCTTTGCAATTATTTGATACTGTGATCCCAAAGTATTTTTATGGGTAGAGCTGCGTATGCAGACTCCCCGGAATTTCTTGTGTCTCTCTTTCTCTCTCTATAGTTTCCTTCCCAAAAAGGGGCTTACATAAACTGTGCGTCGTTACGAGGGAATTGCTGTCCTCCCACGGAATACGCGTGTGTGTGTATTGTTTCCTCGGTCAGCAAAGCTGACCACCGCGGTCCTTTAACTTTGCGTGTCTCTCTACTTTTGTCAGCATTCGTGCCCGAGCACTCGCGACTGGTTGTTGTTGTGCGCTGTCAATAAAAGTTTAGTTGTGTAAAGGACTTTTTGTCTAACAGACGTGTCCCTTGCACAAATCAAGTCCGTTAGACGGGGGTTGACTGTATATCATACTAACCTTGAAGACATTGGTCTTGGTGCCACAGACTTTGCAGGTCACAAAGACTGGCTCCTCCTCTGTGGCACTGCCTATGACACTGTGGCAGTCCCTTGCTGAGCACACCAGTCGCAAATCATGGGCATTAGCGCACATTTCCGCATACGTTGGCCACGCCCCCTCGCAGGCCTCGCAGGCGCAGTCGAACCAATAGCGCGCCCTGAGAGTCGCTCGCCTCTCTGACACCGGCATCCTCGTGAACACCGGCCCGTAGTTTTCAGACACCAGGTCTCCAGTCTTGAGTCTGTTCAGGCACTTGACCACCATCTTGGAGCCCAGGAAGTACCTATACAGTATAACACAGGTGGTATATATATATATATACACCTCACAATTTCACCTCCTGCAATTCAACTGCTGTGTCCTAGAATTTGATGGTTGAATTATTATTGACCTAATATTTCAATTCAACCATAATTTCCCCACAATTGGACCTGCTTTGGACACTTTCTTGCATTTTTTTACTGGAATTTTTTTTGAATTTCACAAAGGTAGCGTCTCACAATTCAGCTGCTTTGCAAATATACTACAGTGTATATAAATAAAAACACAGTTTACAGTATGTATACTCCAGCAAAAACACTCTGCTGTTTGACTGTCATGATGTATATATACTGTATTGTATATATACTGTATACAGGTGGTACCTCACAATTTGACTGCTTTGCAATTTGACACTACTTTGGCAACAGATTAGGTTCAAATTGCAAGGTGCCACCTATATATATATATATATATATTGTAACCCAGAAACAAAATTGCGATTATTTTCTTTTCTCCTTTTTTGGAGGGAGATCCTTCTCTACAAGGTATTTGTTTCCTTGCAGCTGTTCCCCTTTTGTTTTGGTCCCCCCTCTCTCACGTCAGCCCGCATTAATGCGTGAAGGTTATTATTGCACATTTCTCCTTTTCAACTTGCTATTTGTTGACAGTGACAAACGACTTGCACTGCCTTCTTCTAAACTGCCAATTTAGAAGAAGCCTATTCCATTGAATTTGCGAGTGTATATATGTTATTTATATTTATAATATATACCCGGATATATGTATTCATCAAGTGTGTTCAGGGAACCTGCAGTTCCTCAATCTTGGCAAATATTCCACCTCTATATTTTATGTTTCCAGGAAGGTATAAATATACCTTCCTTCCCACATATTTCTCCAGAATTCATCTAGAGTCATTTGAGGTTATTTCTCAGAGAGACTTGCGGAACGTTTTAGCAAGACTCTCTTAAAGCTCTCTATTTTTATGTTCGTGTGATTGTACAAATATTTTTGAATTGAATATATTTGAAGCACATATTTTTATTATTGAACTTGTATATTTTATTTTACCTCGGTCTACGGACAACAATATATATATATATATATATTGTTATTGGCAGAAATTATATAATAATTCCTTGATTTATATTGCGAGAATATTTGCTGTCAAAGTGAATATAGATACTTGGTGCTATTCATAGCACCACGAAGAGACAATAGATTAATATATAAAATATATTAATATTCTTCCATCGCAGTACACGTGGACTGACAGACACAGACTGACAGACACGTGCACGGCCGGCTGACAACATGCGGACCCCTGACGATGCGCGCATAGAAACCCCAGTGCATGGCAACCCCTTGACTGGGCAGTAACCATTGGCGCTTGTTGATCATTAAATAATACCTGCACACGCGCACACAGGTCTCCTACTCCCCTTCTGAATGTAACCACAATCCTGTGGTATATAAACCCCTGGCAGGATTAAGGAACCCAGCAAATAATTTTGACGTTGCAAAGTGCGTTGGGAGGGCGTTCTCATGCCATTATGGCAAGACCATTGTGAAAACGTCATCTTGGTCTTTACTCAACGCCCTGCCCCCAAACGTTGGCAGGGGGCGTTTTGAAACGGGATTGGAACCCATTGCCAATGGGGTTGAAACCATTGAGCCTGAGAGNAAGCTGAATGCCCGAATTTGAAATGAAATCAAGAGTTTTCAAAGCAGTGTGTGCAGGAGCATGCATGTGCGCAACTGCTCTTTGGTCATGGGTGGGCACTTCATGGGATACAACTCATTCAAGTTTTTATTTTGCGTTTCCATTTTTGTCTGGGGATGAAAAAAAAACAATTCTAGGCCAGAAAAGGATGAGGAATCCTATAAAAAAATCGATGTCCATCTCCAGTGATGGTTTGTAGTTGATTCTGAGAACTTCTGTTAGAATGGGTGGGCACATCACCAGAAAAAACTCATTCAAATTTTTTTCCCAGTTTCCATTTTTGTCTAGGGATGACAAAAAAATTGGTTCTAGGTTAAAAAAGGATGAGGAATCCAATAAAAAAATGTTCATCCACCTCCGGTGATGGCTTGTGGTTGACTCCGAGAACTTTTGTTAGAACCCTCGTATATATTTATATATATACCTCACAATTTGACCTCCTGCAATTCAACTGCTGTGTTCTGGAATTTGATGTTTGAATTATTATTGCAATTCAACCATAATTGCCCCACAATTGGACCTGCTTTGGACACTTTCTTGCATTTTTTTTACTGGAATTTTTTTGAATTTCACAAAGCTATAGTGTCTCACAATTCAGCTGCTTTGCAATATACTACAGTGTATATAAATAAATACATAGTTTATAGTATGTATACTCCAGCAAAAACACTCTGCTGTTTGACTGTTGATCATGATGTATATAAATTTTATATATATACAGGTGGTACCTCACAATTTGACTGCTTTGCAATTTTACACTACTTTGGCAATAGATTAGGTTCAAATTGCAAGGTATACCACATATGTACATATATATAGATACTGTATGTACATCATGATCAACAGTCAAACAGCAGAGTATTTTTGCCATACTGTAGTATGCACTATGCATTTATTTATACTCTGTAAAAATATGTGATATGTTCATGATAATATGAGAGAAACTATCTTTAGTTGAAGGTATAACACCAGTTTTTGTTGTTGTTAAAATAGTGTGACACCAACATTTTTGTATTTTATGATGATGATGCAAAGATAAAAATTGCAAACATCATATGTTTCATTTTTAAAATCATATGTGTATATGGATAAGAGTTGGTGATGGTGGTGCCTAACATATGTATATATATACATACTACTGTACCTCACAATGCCAGGACCACAGGAATGGTTCATTAGACACACAGTTGGGTAGATGCCAGCCCCAATGGACACAGAGTTGGCACCCTTGAAGGTGGTGGGTGTCTTCATTCTGAAGTCTGAGATCTCATGAACATTGAACTGCACAATCTGCAAATTCCTCAGAATCAGGGCACCAATGAAGGCCTCCTCTTTGGTCAGGGGCTTCCACTTGTCTCCAGGCACCAGTTCATCTGGTGACTTTATGTTCTCCTGGCCTGTTGAAATTGAAAGAAGGAAACATTACATATTGCATTGAATATTCATTGAAATTTAATTCTGGCTTGTGAGTATGTGTATGTAATTCATCAGCACCAAAGTATCCAGACAACTGCAGGCACTTGAGAAGGAATATGGACATGAGTCCCTTGTGGATGAAGTCTGCAGGCCTTCTCTGTTTGTAATGGTCCTCCATGTTGTAAATGGTCTCATAGTTGCTGGACAAGTACTGGCCATCATTGGACATGCCTCCATCTTCTGTCCTCTCACTCTCATTGGCCCTGTCATGCACCAGAGTCTTGCCCTTGGCCCTCATGACTTCCTCCAACTATATATATACATATACAAACACAGTAGAGCAAATGCTGCAGTCAAAATAATCAACCAATAATTCCAGCATGTTGGTTTAAAATAATTGGTAGAAAGTAAAAATTTTAATTATTCAATAATTGAATTTGCATAATAGTCTTTTTACACAGTAACAAGCTAGTCTTTTGTACAAATTATAGGTCTGTTATTGTGCAGGGGTTGACTGTATCTTGCCCTGTAATTTTCATCATCTTTGCATCAGGGCTGATGATGGTTAGATATAGGAGCATCAGTCTGACCTTGTACAAATGCTGGAGACTTGATTGGGAGACTATCCTAAGGGCAATCCAACAGGTGATGCTCATGCCTGAGGCATCAAGCAGCTTCTGGATCCCACACTCATACTTGTGGTAGGACTGACAGGCTGCACTTCTGCACTGTCTTGAGCAGAAGGCCACTTCACTGCATGTTTCACATGGGAATGCTGCCACAAATCTTATGACATCCATGTGTAACCGTAAAGAAAAGACAACACATGCACAAATGTTAATATTGACCCACCCAAGTGGGGAGCTATATTTTTGCTGTGACCCCACAGTAGGTGCACACCAGGGTCACAACTGGAGCATATGGGATATTCTGGGGGTACAAGTGTGCACTCCTGTAGAGGAAAATTTTGCTACCATTCCAGGGTTACACGTGGTGCACAAATGTGACATATCAGTAGTAGGTGCACACCAGGGTCACAACTGGAGCATATGGGATATTCTGGGGGTACAAGTGTGCACTCCTGTAGAGGAAATTTTGCTACCATTCCAGGGTTACACGTGGTGCACAAATGTGACATATCAGGAGTATCACACAAATGCAGCAACTGTAACCTTGGTGTAACGTATTTGTTTACAAATGTGACCCTGAGTAATCCTGCGGGTGTGAGCACACAATTGGGGCACATTGGGGATATGCATGTGCAACAGAAGAACTTTGGTACACTTCAGGTGCACAGCGGGGTCACTGTGTAGAATTACGAACAAATCCCCGGTGTGCACCAATTTCCCCACTCAGGTGCACCTGATGAAGATGACCATGCATATGAAATTGGAAACTATATAAACCTTTTCAGACAGTAGCTGCAGTAAATGCCTCTCTTTTCAGCCATGATGCAAGTGACAATAGGGTCTTCAATGGCCAGGGTTTCTCCCGGGTGAATGGGACCACCTGCAACTGTGTACCTGCCATTGTCTGAAGTGTACTTGATGACCATGGACTTGGCAAATGATGGGAACTTTGGATTGCAGCCCTTTGTCAGCTCTGGTCTTTCCTCATCATCCTCAAATAAGCAATCTTGGCCTGATGCTGGTCCTGAAAATACATCCTTTACACTATATAAGAGGCATTGCAGCCATTCTTCACATGTTTAAAATGATGTACAAGCATATATAACTTTCTTTAATTTGCATTATGTAAGATCACTTTCAGATGCATTTATTTGAATATTTATGCAAAACTGTCTGATGATGAAATGATGTGCATTAATGTTACTCTCTGATTTGTGCACATTGCAGGAAGTCAAATTGCAAGGAACCACCTGCTCATTCACAGAAGTTTTGTCATTTCACATTATGCCCTGGCCATAAGAATAAATACTTCTTGATTTGAGTCATCCTAATATGGGTAATATCAGATGTGCAGAATAAAATGCTCAGCAGCAACAAGGAAGACATTCAACACATTTGTTTCTATTCCAATATCAACACTGAGGACTTTTAGGATAACAAAGTATTCATTCAGAAACACATTACAGCAGTGACTGTGCACAATAATGTACAGAACAGTGAACCCTTGGCTAATGAACCTAATTGATTCAAGAAAAACATGATGGTTTGAAATTATATATAATGTCCAACCAATAGTGTGCTCACTTATTGGAATCAATTTTAGTCCTGTATTAAATATGGAAACATCTGTTCAATTCCATCTTCAGTTTTGTTTTGTTTTTGCCCTTCCTTCATACAGACATTCATCATCAGGGAATAATGACTAAGATATGCAAAGAAATATTTGTTTTGGTATATACTGTATTCACCTGATGGTGAAGATTGCTGCTGATGGTTGACAGCAACTTGTTGGCCCTTTGCCTCCAGATCCTTGAGCTTCTCCAGGATGGCTGTGGCCCATGTGTCCTGCTTTTTCTGGTCCAGGCCACTGCTGGCCCCCAGTGCTTCCAGGGCACTCTCATAAGCCCTCTTGGCTTCCCCAAGGTTGATGAGGTGTGAGTGACAGTCACCTGCCCTCTCATGCAGCTTGTGCAGGAGTTTCTGGGGGTAGCCCTGGCAAATGGCTTCATCAATGTCCTCCAGGCACTCCTGGTGGAGCCCCAGGTGCAACAGACAGGCTGACCTGTTGCCAAGGCTCACTGGGAGGACACTGATGGCATCTTGTGTGCTGATGCTGGGGCAGGATGCTGATGAGGATGAGGAGGAGGAACCTGCAGCAAAAACAGTGGCTTATAAATCAACAAAAAAAATATTTCTTTATATAGAAACATGTGTTTTTTTACACAAATTAAAGGACACCAACTTTGCCAGAGGGAAAAATAAATAACTGGAACTCATGCACAAATCCAAGTTTTATTTTTAAAGAATCAGATGCTTTTCCTCAACAAAATAATAGTGAGAACCCTCAGAAACAACTTTACTATAATTGCAGTACAGTTGGTAACTTAAAATTTGACCATGTGCAATGCAACCATCCCAAAATTCAACAGTCAAATTTGCAGGGAGGTTGACTTTCAATTTGAACCTTGCCCTGCAATTCAACCTGCTTTGGCCATTTTTTTGCGTTTTTTTTTGCATTGATATTTTTGAATTTCACAAATTTGTCTTGACTGCTTCAAAATTAAACCCTAGTTTGGCAACATATGATTACAGTCAAATTGCAAGGTACCACCTGTATATAGAGTTGTCACTCATCTATAAACTGTTACCATTTCAAATAAATTTATAATATTATGAATTTATTATTAATTTGATGGAACAGGTGACACCTTACAATTTGACCTCCTGCAATGCAACCAGCATGGTCAAATTTGCAGGGATGAGGTTGACTTGCAATTTGACCTCTGCCCCAGAATTCAACCTGATTTGGCCACTTTTTTTGGCATTTCTTTGCTGATATTTCTCAATTTTACAAATGGTCTTGCAATTTGACTGCTTTGCAATTTGACCTTAGTCCAGTGAATACAGATTACAGTCAAATTACAAAAGGGACCATGTATACATTTGCCAGCACCAGTGCAATAATACCATATTGCTGAGCATTTTCCTGCAGCCTCATCAGAAAATATTTTTTGCACATGTATCTTAGATGTCACACCTGTATACAAAAGTACAGAGAAAGAATGATGGAAAAGCATTGACCTCTGCATGAGCAAGCAGAAACATCAAAAAAGAGAATTGAATACCACAAATACATGTAGATGTCACTCCTCATGTAAGTGAAACTGCTCATAGAAGAGCCTTTTGATGATGATCAATAATAGAATGCATATATTTGCACCACATCATGTGGTACCTTTCCCAAGCTTTCTTTTTCCTTAACAATTTGTTTCATCACTGCTGCTAATAAATAAAGAAGCTATTATTGGGGAATAAAATGTACACAATAATTATAAAAATTTTGTTTATATACAGTATTACAGACTGTCTGGAAAGTTGAACAGATGTTCCCATCTGCTGCATTGTGTGTTTATATGCACTGTATATACAGAAGAGCTTTTGCATGGTCCACAGCACAGCAGGAGCCATATCACTATTATAAGGAAAGAGAATATGGATCCAGCAAAAGCCCAGCAGGGCAAATCTTGTACCAGCAGCAGCAGCAGATATGCAACCTGGGCAACCAGCAGCAGCAATCTTGCAAAACAATCGCGCCAAAAGGAAAAGAAGAAGAAGAAGAAGACACTTCCTGCCCACTTCCTCCTATTACTCGTATCGTTTATTGATTGTTTTCCCTTTATTATATACAGTATACTCACTTTTGCTGTGTGCCTGGCTTGCTGAATATATCGATAAAAGGGGAGGTTATTTCTATAATAACAGGTCCTTGTATATATTCAGTATTACTGTATATACCTGATGGGAAAGAAATATTCATGTTCTGCTCTTGCTGATACTGTTTATTGAGTATGCAGTACTGTACAGTACAATACAGTACTGGAAAGTGTCCAGAAAAAAAATAAATGCTGTTTGTATCATATTTTGAACAGGTACCTCTGATGATTGTTTGGCAAAAATGTATATACAGTGGCCCCCCGCCTAACAGACCTCCCGTGTAAGGGATTTTTGCCAAACAGACTTGTAATTGAATTCGTGTAAAGGACTTTTTGTCTAACAGACTCGTCCCTTGCACGAATCAAGTCCGTTAGACGGTGGTTGACTGTAATTCCTGTAAATAAATGCTGTAGCAGAATTTAATGCAGACCCCTGCTGTGAAGACTTGATTAAAGTTTCATCAGTAAAGTAATCAACTGTGCAGCACTTGGTCTTTATCATTATCTGCAATCTTCAATGCTATAATTGTGATGCCTCATTATATATTTCTCACATCAGCAGAGTTTACACACATGCAGCACACAGAGAATAAAAAAAAACAATGGATATAACCTTATTTTATGTTTGATAAACATTCCCAAAAAGTTAGACACAAAACTGCTGGTGTGTATATAGTGTGTGAATATGTATCCATGATGGCTTATATCTGCATGTTGATAAGAAAATGGTCAATAAATCTCATTAATTTTAATACTGTGCTCTTTGTGCAAGCAAATGAAGAGGGCATGTTCCTGTATATATATGTACACTCTGAGCTTATGATGATGGGGTCATTTGCTTTAATTAGTCTTTCCCTTTGATGCATTATACTTGATGGACTTTTCCCCTCCTTGACTCTTTTAATTACTCAATAAGGATTTGTTGTCACCTTTTTTTTCAGAGGAAAAACAGAAATGGACTAATAAATGAGCTGAATTTATATTCCCATGACACATGGCTACATTTTCTCATTTTCAGCATCAATTAACTTGTCCTGTATGTCATTTTCTCTTCAGAGGAAAAACAGACAAGCATGAAAGAATCTTATTGTTATTTCAAAATATGAATGGTTCATTATTTTAATTAGTATAAAGGAGGTAATTCTTTAGAAAATGGTATTTTTTGGACACAGGATTTTTGAAAACCTGAAAATTCTGTTTGTGCATGATGAGCACTGAAATGTTCTTGTCAATTTTAGCATCATGATCAATTTAATTAGTCAAATATAGAACAAACTTTGGTGTTTCCATAATTAATAATCACTAAATTTCTTTTTTATTTAATTAGAGTATTTGTATATAACTTTATTTCCTATAGCAAATACTGTAGTACATGGTGAAGAGAGCTTGAATCCCTTTTGATCCTTTCAATCTGTGCAATATATAAATAACAACAATAACATTCCTAACAATAATGTGTCACAATATACCACTTATATATATACATGAAACAGAATTGATGTGGAAAGGTTTTATTGACAACACTTTATTGTGGAATTACCTGGCTGGTGGTAGGATGCAGGCCAAGGAGCAGCAAGGATCCCTCTGGTGTATTCCATGGCAGCTTCAAAGAACTTCCCTTTGCCAAAGTGTGTATTGCCTCTGACTTTGGCCTCCTGTGCTTCTTTCAGACTCTTGCCTCTGCTGTACCTATATATTGGTATCATATATAATAGTATCAATGACAGTCATTTGTGTATACTGACTATTTTTGAAGGAATTCCAAAAATGTTTATCTTGGAAAATGTTTTGAGTTGGTAAGTTTGGATTTTTTATGATTTTGTGGGTTCATGTATATGGAAAAGTAATTTCTTGCCAAATTATTAGGACTTTTCACTTAGAAAAAAACACACACACACACACACACAGAAGAGGAAAAGGAATGAGTTTACCTTGGGTCTCAAACTCACTTGTCCAATTTGAGTGTATTTGGACAACAACAGGGAATTTTATGAAGGAATGTGAAAAAGTATTTTCTGGCCAAAATATTAGGACTGCTCCCTTGGACACAAACACAGAACAGAATAAGATAATAGAGAGTGGACATGGAGGCTCACACTCACTTGTCCAATTGGACTGTATGGACAATAAGAGGGCATTTGATCAATAAAGGAATGTGAAAATACATTTTCTGGTGAAAGTATTAGGACTGTTCCCTTGGACACCCACACAGAATAGGCTGTGAGAAGAGAGTGGTTATGGGGTCTCACACTCACTTGTCCAATTGGACAAAGGGCTTATCATTTGATGAAAGAATGTGAAAAATTAATTTTCTGGCCAAATTACTAGGACTGTTCCCTTGGACAAACACAAGAGAGTGGACATGAGGTCTCACACCCACTTGTCCAATTGGAAGAATGACAATTCATTTGATGAAGGAATCTGAAAAAGTAGTTTCTGGCCAAATTATTAAAACTGTTCATTTGGACAGACACACACACAGCAAGAGAAGAGAAAAAAATAAAAAATAAAATAGTGGACATGGGGTCTCAGTAGTCTCACACTCACTTGTCCAATTGGAGTGTGTGCACAAAGGGCATTTGATGAAGGAATGTGATCCTGTCCAAGTCTGAGTTGAGCTTCTGGAAGGTGTCCAGCACTCTTTGGTTCAGGTGCTGACTTGTCAGCTTCATCACATATGGCCTGAAGAAACCCTTTTCATTCAGGTCCATTGTGGGGTCACTGGTGACTCCCATCTTTTCCTTCTCCACCTGCTTCCCAGACATCTTTGGTAAATCTCACTCACTTTTTCAACAAGCACCCATACATAAACTCTACATAAAATGTTCACTCAACTCCACAGTTCAAATTTACAGCATATATTTACCCTTGCAATTTTTTTTATCCCTGAGAAGAAGAAAAAATGCAACACTCAATTTTATGCTGCTGTAACTTATGTTGGAAAAATTGTCAGACACTTCCCCAAAAAAATAAAATGCACTTCAAAAGTGATGATATAGTATATTCTTTATGAACAAATGGATGAAAAGGCAGTGTTTCATCATTCAAAAAAAATTTAGGAGCACATTGAAAAATTAATTATTTACATAATAGCCAGGAACTGTGTGGAATTCTTCAACTGCTGGACAATTTTTAAGAAAACCAAGATATTCAAAAATGAGCACAGGTGTAATTATTTCTTCAAACTGAGCCCTTTTTAACAAATGCAGTGAAAATCACATGTATGTCACTTTTGATGTGTGAAGGAAGCAGGAAGTTTGCAGAATCAAACAGTACCTGTTCAAGTTCTGGTGAGAAAACACTGCTTTTCCACCATAAAAAAGTAGTCATGGTGATGAATAATGGGGCTCACAAAATGCCCAACACACTGTCTTATACTGACTGGCAAAATCCCACACACAAATCAATGGACCACAATCATTAATCCCCTGCTGCTGTCCACAATAACAGGTGCTTGTGTTGCTGATTATCAGCACACAACAAATCAATGATATTTTTCATTTTTCATGTTCTACAGAAAAAGCAGGAATTTTTTTTAAACTTTCACACAGCAGTAGCAAGTATTGGGGGGAAGTGTGTTTGTGCTGAGAAGAGAGCCGGTGAGGAACTGTGCCAAAAAACCATTTCCTCCTCCCCTCTTTCTTCTTCTTCTTCTGCAAACCTCAGACACACACTTCCTGATACCTGCTCAAAATAAACCCACCACCTCCCCAAGGAAAAACAAAAAGGGCATTCCACAAAGTTCAGTTCCATGTAGTGAAAAGTTTTTTTTTTGTGTGTGGGAAGATTGGAATTTCCTGGAGCTTATGTGTGCATGAGCTCTATGATGTAATCTATTTGACATGGCTGCTCCCTCTTGTACATGAAATATATACACAGCATACATGCACATAATTTAAACCAGTTGTTTCTTATTCAAAAAAGACATATATTTCCAGGACATTGTTTCTCATGAAAAAGATGACCAATCAATAAGCTATAGATCTGATTTTATCAAATATTTCTGCACTTTTGAAATGGCAGCCCATTTCATGGAGTCCTTTCAACCAAAAAAAAGAAATTTTCCAAGATTTGTAATTAAAAAATTAGCATAATCAAGTTCATTTTAGAATTTTAGTGAAACCACCAAGAATTAAGTGTAATTTTAGGAGCTGTTGTGAGCTCTGTGAAAAAATCTATTCACTTGATCTGGCTACCCATTTATATATAATATGTAGCATATATGTAACATAAATATGCATGCAAACAATTTGACCCAGATTTGCAATTTAATTTTCTATCAGAACATAATTGTTTCTGATGAAAGGAATTCCTTTCATCAGATGTTTTATGTTTGTTGCATCAGTTTGTTGCAATTATACAAAACCACAAAATATAAATTTTGAAGTTAAAAATACTGTTAAAATAAGGAATAATTTTTAAAGAATGTAACAGGCTGGTGTTACAAAATACTCATGCTACAACAAAGGAAAAGCTGAAATGAACAGTTTTTGGCATTGTATCAGACAGGCGTTTTAAAATGCTTGTCTGTTACAATGCTAAAAACTGATTTCAACAGATTTCCCTTGGTTGTAACAGGCAGGCGTTTTAAAACGCCTTTCTGTTACAATGCTAAAAACTGTTTATTTCAGATTTTTCCTGGTTGTAACTCAGAGCATTTTAAAACGCTCCATGTTACACCCAGGAAAATCTGAAAAAATTGAAATTCTTGAGTGTAGCAGGCAGGCGTTTTGAAACGCCTGCCTGCTACACTCAAGAAAAGCTCATCAAAAGTGTTCAAAGTATAGGCGTAACTACAGAATGCATTAAAAACGCATTCTGAATGCATTTCAGAAAAAACTTTCAGTACAGCAACACAGAAAAAAAAGAAAGGCCTTTCAGAAGAAGCTGGGCATAACAGTTATGCATAACAAACGCTTTTTGTATGCGTAACTGTTATGCGCAGCAATACCTGTAACAGATTACTTGCTGGGAAACCATACAGAGAGCTGTTTTATGAAAAAACCATGAACTTGACATGGCTGCCATACTTTGTAGATAAACTTGAAAAGTTGACCAGCAGTCAAAAAAATTTTTCATACAATTTATTGTGACTTTTTTCTTCATAAAGGAAAAATCAAAGAATCAAGTGACTTAATCACAATCAATCTTCTTAACATGGATGCCTTTTAATATTCATTATTCACAAAACTGCCAAATATTTCAAAATGCTACATTTAATTTGTTTCATTGCATACATACATTTTGACACATTGAAAAATACTCTTTGATTCAAATGTGAACATATGTCATGATTTCACATGATCCTCATGATGAAAAAAAAATTCCAGTTGTCAAATGAATTCAGAATAATTTTTGAAAAAAAATAAGAGATCAACATGAGGACAGCAGAAAATCATCCAATGAATAGGAACTTTTTCTTCTTTTTTGCGTGGTACTTCTTTCCATGTGAATTCTTTGTCTTCTGTTTCTGTTTGATCCTCTTCTTCCTCTTTTTCTTTTTGCATGTGCAGTTATCCACAGCTTTTTCCTTCTTCAAGTTGCTTGACCACCTGAAATCATTGCAATCTCAAGGAATCACTTGTTTTTCTTCCAGTTATTTCTATGGAAAAATATTTCCATTATTGGACTCACACTTTGAAAAGCACCAAAGGAGCAGCATTTGCAAATTTTGGCAGCTTCTGCTGGTGACTGAATTCCAACTCGCTGAGGTCCAGAAAAACAGCCAAGATAATCACTAGGATTCCCAACTTGCATATAAAAAGATTGATTTTAAATTTGGCATTTGTTCAATAATGAATTAGTTAGAGTAAATATATTTCACCTGGGTCATGTGCATTGTCCTGCCACTATTCACCAACTGACCCAAGATTGCTCCAATGCACAGGGATTTTTTCCTTCATGATTTCCCAGTGGAAGAAAAGGCATGTTTACTTGTTGTAGGATGAAATGAATTTCATGACAGGTCCCACCCTGTGAGCAAATAAGGGAGGCACTTGAGAACACTTCATGGCTGTGTATATATGTAAACATTATAGAAAGTCATCCTGATGTGAATGTGAAACACAGGCTAATTCCAGATCCCTTTTGATTTTTAAAAACTCTTTTGATTAAACAACTTTCAAATTCATTGAACCAAACAGATAATATTGCTGGAGAATGACACCACGCTTTCAGCTTGCGGTTTTGGTCACCCAGGCATTGAACCCATGCCGCCTACGTTTCTTTCATCACACCCGCGATTTACGGCGTTCGCACGTCAGTGACATCTGTTGGACTCCTTTCTCTTCATTGTCCACAAGTTTTGTTTGGGTGAATGGACGTGGAGAACAATGACGATGAGAAATGTAAGGGCATTAATTTCTTGTATCGAATGAACGATGATGTGGAAGATGGACACCTAGCAAAGATTTGAGAAAACAATTGCAACATTATTCTTCAATATTATATAGATGTCGCTGACAGTAATATACTGTGGTTCTCTTCATGCGTAGCGGAGGCATTTCTCGCTCTCATTCAGCGAATGAAATCGAATTCCATAAAGTCTACGTCATTATCATTTTCGAACTAAGCCGGATAGATGATCAGGTTTTTTTTCGTTCATGTTTCGCAATTGTTGGTGTTTCTTAACGAGACTGAATGATATAGAGAGGAGTTTCCGGGGTTCTTCCGGATGGACAAGCGTTCGGTGGGAAACTGGTTGGTTGTTGCCGGCCTTGCGCCGTATATGCTGCTAAGGGCCACTCAGAAGTGGTGGATGGGTAATTTGATGGTGTTGCAATATGGTAATATTGTTCAGTGCGTCTTGATACTCCTGAAAAACATGACATATTTGTATTGTATTCAAGTGCTTGATGGTTAAGATTAAACCGTGAAAAAATTTTCTATAAAAGGATTGCCATAAAACATTGATACAAGAAGAGGTTTTGTTGGAAGATGGCACAGTATATTTAGGTCTACAGTTCAGAGACTATGGAGAATAATTCTGCGCATTAAAGTTATTTTTTTAGTGATATATTTTGACCGTTCTGTGAGCAAATATTGCAGTGAATACTGCTTCAGTATATGTCTCCTTCCCAATGCAGGCAGGAGATGAAATCCGGAGAAAGAATGCAACATGCCTCATCCAAACATTGTGAAGAGGATCAAGAACACTTCGTTTGCAGTAATGAATGAATCTCGAAAGCTTTTTGTCACGTGTTTTTCAGTTAGCCCCGTTGAAACAAATTCGTTATGCAGCGAAAATCGATAAATGGTTGTAACGGAAATTCACGTAAACATAACCGGAATTTAACTGGACTATATAGCAACTACTGTACTGCATAGACTAGTAGAGTACAGTATACTTCATCCTCATGCTGAGTGCCTCCGCAACTCGGGACCTGTTTTCGGAGGCAGCACACACTCTCTCTCTTTCCTACCCCCGGTCAGCCTTGGGAGGTGGACTCGGCGTTTTGCCTCCTTAAGGAACTCCTGTCCCTCGTCCAGCCGCTGCCCCTGTCTCGCGGTCTTCCCCACTCACCATGTTTCGCCAGCCTCCTTCTCCTTCTCCGTCGAGGAATCTCATGGTTGCCCCACACGCCGGCACTTCAGTTGCTGCCTGGATCTCGTGCTAGGTGGACGTCAGTGCAGATGAACAATACTCCGTTTGGGAGTGTAATGGCGAAATGCCACTTTTTGTGTGTGCATAATTCGTAAAATTTGATGGAAGGGGGACCGTGTTGTATATCAGTGTTTCCGGGGGATGAATATAACTGTGTGTGCCCAGTCACGGACACCGGGATTCCCCCAGTGCATTTCCTCTGATAAATGATTCATACGAGGTTTTTTGTTCTTCTGTTCCCTTCTCTCGAAATCAGGAAGACGTAATTTTGTGAGTAATGCTGTGGTGGTTGTGCCTTATCACATGCTGGACGCTGCTTTTCGGAGCAGGTGAATAATGCTCAGTTTCCCTGAAATTCCGCCCACTATACGTGAATTGAACACCTATTGTATTTCGGAAGCGAAGACCGTGTTTCATCTTTTTTTTTTTTCTTCAAGGGCGGATCAAGATTTCAATTGTGTGCTAATACGGTCTTTGTCCCATTCCATTCTCTCATCGTCTCTCTCTATATTTATATACTGTAAAACGTATATGTTTTTATGTATAGGGACTGGCGAATATCTTGGAGCTAAGGTCGGTGATTTCAGGAACTTCGCCCACGATATCAAGGGCACGGTTTACGTTGTGGACGAGCACAGGTTTCTCATCAAGGGCTTCGGTTATGATGGAACTGCACCCGGTAAGAGACGATCATTTTTATACAGTACACTGTACATGCATGTGTATGCTCAAAGTACAGTATAATCTCATCACAACGAAGCGTTTGAGAAAGGCATTGTTGTGCATGAAATTAAATAACATTTTGACTAATTATTGAACCGGGGACGAGAAAAAAAAGTCGTATACTGTATGCATCAATTCGTTATAACGAGATTCTGCAGTATTCTTTTCTAGAGTGTTCTATGAACAGCAGTTGATTTGTTCGGAAATAGTGAGTTGAGTATAATCTCAAGTGCTGCATCAAATTGAAATTCATGCCGAAATTGAATTGACTTATGGATCGAGAAGTTTAGGAAGTACAGTACTGTACTGTACTTATCTGCAACTACGCGTGCAGAAAACTTGAAAATTTGTGAAATTAACACCCGGAACTCGTGGCATTTCTTGATATTTTTGAAGTATTTTCCCAATTCAGTAAATTATCGTTATATCAAACGGCAATAGACCTCAGAAAAATTATATTATTTATAATTTATTTCTTTTTTTTCAGATGCATTCTTCTGGGTGGGAACTGGTGGAACCCCGACTCCACAGGGTACCATTGTGCCATATCCCATCAGGGAAGATGGTGACAGGTATGAATTATGCCACTATATTCGATCGAGAGCCGGATTTCGTGAATTTAAAGCCGAGTTTATAAATAATTGAAAACCTTTTGAAATTCGAGTTTGAAGGGACTCCCCAAGTTTTTCCTCTGTGAAAGGAAATTATTTTCTTGCCCGAAGCAAATTATGCCCTTGAGGTTCGAAGGGAATTCGGTTTATTAAATATATTCATTGTAATTTATTTTTGCGTCCTTTATTCACTCTGAACATCATTTTTTTTTTTGGCCACCCGCTATATTTTAGAATTGGTTACATATTACTATATGTAATATGGGAATACTTTTTTCGAAGAAAATGCTGAAGTTGGATTAATTTCGACGTTATAAAAAATGTGGTCCACTTGCATTTTGTAAAAAAAAAATTCCATTTTTTACGAGAAAAACAAGAAAATGTGCGTGTGTGTGTGTGTGTGTGTGTGTTATTATTGTAATTGTATACTCGCAAATCATCGGATTTTGAAAAGGAGAAATTTGTTTTGTAATTTTTTTAAATGTATAGAAGCAAGCCAAAGAAGTTGGAGAGAGCTGATGGACTTGACCTAGTGATCAAGTTGCCTGATGGAATGACTGTGAAGGATATCGACTACCTCTCTGTCTACTGTGAATCCTACACCGTAAGTTTCTCGTCAATTTATTATTTTTTTCGAAAAATAAGAAAGAAAAAAATTATATGGATTATGAAGTGGAAATCTTGGAAGTGATTCCCCTTTTTTTCTTCTCTTCCACATTTTATATTTTTTCTATTTTCCATAATTTTTGCAAGAAATTGAGTTGATTATTTTTAGGCACTGTGGGATATTCTGAAAGAGATCATGAACTCATGTGAGTCTTGGATGAATGGGGATGGAGAGAATAAATTGTTGGTCAATTTATTTTCCTTCCATCATCCATGACAGAAAAATTGGGCAGTTGGAAATTTGATGACTGAGAATGTCAAGTGCTTTGTGACTTGCTCCTGCAATGTAACTTTTCCCATTACAATTAATTATGTGTCTGAGAAAAATTATGAAAATTTCATAATTGTATTTCCAGGTGAATTTCGGCCATGTCACCATTCCCAAGAGCCTGGACCCTCCCAAGGAGACTGTTGTGGATGGGTTTGCCACCAGGCGCAACAGTGTCAAGTCGGCCAGTGCCACGGTGGTGGATGATGCCACCATCGTGGTGCCCAGATTCAGTTATGATGGCAGAGCCTCTGAGGCGCATTTCATTGCTGGCAAGGGAGACACTCCATCCATTTCTGGGGACTATGTCATCATCCCTGATGAGCAGGGCAGGTACAAAAGTCATCCATGTTTTCAACAAGTGCAGTAATGTACTATACAAGTGTGACCAATCTTGTGAAAATCATACTTTATATACACTCAATAGTGAAACTTGGATATTTTATATCTTATTTACTCAATGAAGAGAAATTGATTTGCTTGCTCCTGTGTGCAAATGATTCACTCAAAGTTATTCTTGCGAATTTATATTCTTGGAAGTATATATATTGAGTTAAAAAGTGAAAGATTGTGATATCATGTTTAATTATTCACAATATTTTATTGTGGCTGCTTTTTGCACCCAACAGAGGACACCACTGGTCTTGGTTTGACCAAGAACAGTTTATCCTGTCATAAATGGGTACACAATTCTTAAAAAATGTTGGAAATTTAGGTGAGAGTCATACAGTGTTTTAATTTGATAATAATTTTCGATCAATTTTGACAGGAGCACTTTCAAATAAAAAAAATTGAATATTAGCTGAATTCAGGTTCAATTCATGTTGAAATTCAAATTCTGATATGCTCAATTTCTGAAATATTTCAGTTTTTCAGTCACAAAAATGGATTTTGCATCTTACTTTGTGTTGGGATTTCATTACAATTTTTGGAAGGAATATGTGATTGTGCATACCACTCAAGGACACTTGGTACAGTTCTAAATACTGAAAAAGTGATGTAGTTGTACTTCCATTTAAGTCTTAATTCAGTTTTCCCCTTGCATATGACATGTTTTGACAAGCACAGATTGATCTTCAAAAAATCATTCAATACATTTCCTGCATAATTTACACTGATTGCTGAATTATGTTTTGTTTTTTGCAGAAAAACTCCATTGAGACAGTATCAGTCTGAGGACATCACCCTGCAGATCCCTGAAGGACACAGCATCAGGGATTTCAACTGGCTGGCTGTGTACAGCAAGGCATCAGATGAAGACCTTGGTCACATCACTTTGCCTCTGACTCTGAATGTGCCTCCTTCTTTGAAGAACATAAAAGCAGTATGTTTTTGTTTTTTTTGGCCTTGTTTCCCAACATTTGTTCATGTGATTGTATATCCAATAACAGCCTGCCTCTGGCCCAGGAACATCCTTTGCCTTCACCAACTGCATTGAACCCTTCAAAGGCATCATGCAAGTGAGGTGGAAGATGGAGAAGAATGAGCATTTGGTGGTTCAGCTCATGGGCAAGATCCAGGCCACACAGTACATGGCATTTGGACTGAGTGGAGTGCCTGGAAGGTAATGTGTACTTCATGGAAAATTGACCTTGTTGTCTATTGCTCATGTTCAACCCTGATTAAATAGGTCTGAGATGATTGTCAGGCCACACAGTACATGGCATTTGGACTGAGTGGAGTGCCTGGAAGGTAATGTGTACTTCATGGAAAATTGACCTTGTTGTCTATTGCTCATGTTCAACCCTGATTAAATAGGTCTGAGATGATTGGTGCAGATGTGGTGGTGGCCTATTACAACACTGATGAGGATGCTTTCAGAGTCCAAGACTACTTCATGAGTGACAAGGCCCAGGTGACTCATCCTTGTTCTTCTTTTCTTCTTGTTATACATTTGAACCTTTTCAATTCAAACTTCAAGGGACCAACAAAAAATTTGACCCAAAGAAGTTTTGAATCTTGAGTGAGATAAGCATTTTTGTTGGTGGAAAGATGGAAGAATTGCAGGACACTTTTCTGGACATTGAATTGCTTCTCAGATGAGTTGACAGGATGTTGAACTTGGAAGCAAGGTTTTGTTTGTTAAATTAGTCCTTCTCTTCTTCTCAAAGTGAATCAAGTTACATTTTTATTCAATTTTTTTTCATGTTTCAATGAAACAACTGCCAAAAGTCCTCAGAAACTGTTGAGTTATGGAGGTTTGAAGGGGAATGCCATTGAGTTAAGGTTTTTACCTTTTTTTGGGAATTTTAAGAAGGGGACTTGAAAATGTTTTACTTGGAGAGGTATTCAAAATATTGAAGAGGAAGAGTATGTTTTTATACTTATGGATTCCATGTATGTATGCACAGTGTGATGGACAGCGTGGAGTGTGTCCAGACACCAGATTGCAAGGGGAGAATGATGCAGAGTATCTCTCTGGAGACTTGCAAGATGGCGTCATGGTCTTCACCTACAGGCGCCCT